GGTTAGGTCTTTTTTCTGCTCTAAACGACGGATCTGCCACCACTATAAAAAAATATAGTCACTGGAATTATCTACAGTTGACCTGTAATTGCATCCAACTCGAGATTTCCAGTTTTATCGTATCTGCACTACTGCAGCTGAATATATCGGTTTCCAAGGAAACTGACGTATTAGACTGGCCATGATCATCATTTTAAATGTTGATCTAAACATCTACTGTTAAGAAATATGTAGCTAATTGAAGTTCTCAACAACATTATTAACAAGAATTAAGACCGCAGAATATGACCAGCAAACTCTCTTTCTATATCTTCTTTTCGCTTTGATTCCCATCCGCCTGCAAGACACAGAACTAAATATTTGTTCGTCAGTGCAATCTTTAAAATAAATGTTATCCAGTAAGCTGGACTTTGTAAACTATTTACACGAAGGATAATTGAGTACTGATTTACTAGAGAGAGTAAAACTATATGGTTCTAAGACGAGTTTTCAAGAACTAAATAACTGTTACTAATGCTTTTCTTATTTGAAATTCAAAAACATGCATGATAAACAGGGTGTTTGAGAAAAAATACATTTTTTATAGGGTACTAGGTATAAAAAGTTTGTTACACTGGTCACTCACAAGGTTAAATACCTGAGTTAGAAAAGCTTCAGACACTGATCACTCTTCTGTGACTTCCCCTTCCTTTTGGCTCCAAATGTCATCTTGAAATTGCTTATTGACTTCGTTGTTGTTTCTGAAAATACCTCCGCACAAACAAACGTGATTGAATTGTGAAACGCTGACAAGAAGCTCTCCGAAAAGTAAGAAAAACGAATCTGACACGGCTGCAGTTGAAAACCCTGGTTTCTTCATGGGTAATCAACGCCTGCAAAATGTCGATAAAGATAGCCGAAATACAAAAACTGCTCAAAGAGACAACTTTCTATACCATTTTGATCTTCGCAGTAAAAACCAGAAAACATCATCTATTTACGAAAAACTGCTAAAACTGGATAAGTCTATCGGGAATTTTACAGACATGTATGACTTTCTTGTTCCAGGACTGTGACAACGCGGAAAGCGCCTTCGTAACTTACAGCGATGGTGCTTTGGTAAAATTTATTTCTAAAATCTTTTCAAAATTCTGGAATTGCATCACTCTAAGATCAAATTTTGCTCATTTGCCTCATTTCAAAGTATCATGAATAGTCTGGTCTACTGAGCTCGAACGTCTCTCTTTGGGAATGTCACGTAACAAAAAACCTTAATCTTTTTCATTTACTGTATAAATTAAAGTACGTCGGCAATAACTGAACACAGTTACAGTATTTACATCACTTAGGACTTTAGACAGAAAAATACACGCAGATTTTTACTAATTGCTTGATAAGATCTAAAAAGAAAAAGATGAACATCAAGGCATAAAGCAGCTTATTAGCTTATATCTTTAAACATATTACAGAAGGAAATGCTATTGTTGCTTAAATCAATAGCTGTATTTCGAAAACTAAAAAAATTATGACTATGAGGCACTTGATAGAGCAAGATTCCCCTTTTTTATTTTCTCTACAATATGAGATCAAAGCAGTAGAGATACATAAGGCAGCCTTATATCACTTAATTGAAAATATTTGTAAATATCACAGTGACGTACATGGTAAGGTATTAATCATGAATTTGGCGCACTACAACGATAGTCACGAATTTCTTTGACATAATTCGCTGGGAATAACCCAGTTCAATTTTTTATTTTCCGATTCACCGACCATAGGAATTTGAAGATAATTATTATGGTAATTAACCTTTCAATTGAAAAATAGCTATTTCAAATACATCAAAAGAGCTGTAATGCCAACATCGGTGTGAACCTTTATTGATAAGCTCGGATTGATCACCAACAGCAAATGACAGTTTGTCGCTGTTTTGGGTATCGTAAGAGTACAAGGGTTTGACAAGAGATGTGGGTTTTGATTTCGGTGGGAGTGGGGCGGTAGAACGTGCTTTTTCGTTTTTACCTGAAGGTTTTACAGTCACGAAGTTTGTAGAGTACTGAGGAGCAAAATTGGCGATGACAATCTGCAGAGATAGACTAACTTTGCGGTCAGAATTTTGCTCTGCATCATTTTGTGAAATTCTTGTTCCACTCACTGAAGTATGAGAAGTTGCGTCTAAAATACACTAATTCTACAGTGAGCAAATGAGCACTGGCAAAAGAACAGGAGCTCTGTGACTAAAAAGAGAGAGAAATATAAAAACGTTTTTGCCGCATTGGTGAATGGAATAAAGGCGTATAGGAGAGGATTGGTATTGTAAAGCAGTTTTGACCATTTTCAGCGTGTTTATTTAAACTTTTACGAAAAAAAGTGTAAGTGAGGTACTTAGTTGTAAAAAACGATCAAAAAACTCATTTTTAGCTTATAGAATGTCGACTAGATCTATCTGGAATGGTCTAGTGCCTATTCAATTAAATAAGTAGGTTGACAAAATAAGCATTTTATTTCAGTAATTTTTACCTAATTTATCTATTTTCTTTTTCATTTGCTACATTTGTTTCTTGGCGTCTGCGTTCCAACTGTCAATTAAAACTTTTCATTTATTTTCATCGATTTGATTAACGGACACCTTAGGCTAAAATTGACGATAATGATTCGAAAATCACAACTTCTGAGTAGCAGTAATGCAACAGTATAGTGTTTTTAAATTTGAAGATATTAAGAAATTTAAGAAGATGACCATTCAAAAAATTGAAGGATTTAAAAATAAACGAACCTTTAGAGTAGTGAGTTCAGTTAAGACTTTTTCAAATGATGGTCGTTTCATCGGAACTCCTGAGGAACACTTTTTTGGTAATTTTCCTAGAGAGCTGCGCCTCACTGCAAAGTTTTGCTCTGTCTCTATTTATTGTCTAAAAAAGAGCAAAAGCAATCAAGCAAGATAGAAGCAACTTGAGTTTTCTAAAGTCAAACCCATCACAAATTCCTTGAAAAACTTGCTATTTGTCAAGCCCTTCGTAAGGCTTAACCCTCGTTAGAGTCTTCCAAATTACAACCCGAAAATTCCACACATCCATCTAGAAATTTATGTTAATATTCTTTTTGATTGAAGAACATTAAAAGAATTTCTACTTTAACGAAGCTGAGGAAAAAGATTTGTATAAGTTCTAACAAATGAAGCTTACCTTGAGACAGGCTTGACTGCTTAGTAGCTGTGTAGCGGCGAGTTCCACAGAAGGTCATACTTTTAACTCCTGATCCTTCCCATTCTCAAACCATGTCAAAGTTGCAAATTTTCGCTCCACCGTCGCTGTCAAAAACTATGCTGGAATTTTACTTTAATAGAACGAGAACAATACGTCGTCTTATAAACTGACATAAAGAGTGAATATTACTTAGACAATTTCAGATCGCAATGTATAATTTTCTTTAAATGCGAATATTTCATTCCGCTGCTAATTTGTACCAACCAATCGTAAATTTCTTCCTCCTAATATCTTTATTTTTGTGCATTCGATCATTTAGTGATTCATTTTTGCAGTACTTCATAAAAACGAAATAACCTGTTCTGTGGTAAGAAACCTCTCTAAAAAAGTTTTCTTAGAGTATCAGAAAACATTTTAAAGCATCACTGTAGGCTGGTTTTGCAAAAACTTCTTAATTATCTTGCAAAGTTAAATTTACTTTCGACAGCCTTGGAGCGGTACAGCATAAAAAGAAAGCGCAACTTGTTGTTACCTTTAAAAATAAAAACACTTTCCTGTTCTGTATTTGTAGCGTTAGAGAAAAAAGATGAATATAGACAACTAACAAAAATTTGATTAAATGAAGGTGATCCAAATAAAGTAGGTGATAATTTTCTGTTTCCTTTTTTGTTTTAAACTGTTTTAGAGCAAGAGTTCTTTCACTGACTACAATATTGTAAACTTGTCCTTGACCACCTCTTCCGATCAGTTTCAAGTTTTTTGAAAGCTCTTTGTATGGCACTTCACGTCTACCTAAACTTGACAAGCCTAAACATCCAAGCAGCACGATACTAAAATCGTTGCGGCCAATTATCTTTTTGTCTTATACAGAAAATTTACAGGATTTTATAAATTCTTCTATGCTAAACATTTGCAATCACGATTTCAAAACAACGAACTGTTATTAGATCAATTGATAATACTGTAACTTATATTTTTTTACCATTTTACTTTTCAAAAAAACGTTTTAAAGCTTCAGAAGAAGGAGAGAACAAGCACAACTTATTATACATTTATTGTCGCAAAAAGAAATATTA